GTGGGCTCCAGGCTCCGATACTCGCGCGCTCGCGTACTCAGATACTGGGGTACTGAGGTACTGGCCCGTAGGGGAGATAGTGGCAGCTGAGCATGAGTGACGCGAGCGGTGGTTCGGCCGCATCTGCTCCCGATGCGGGTGGTTCTCCCGGCACGAGTACCCTCGCACCGGGTTCTTCAACACAAGACGCGCAACAAGACAACGGAGCTGAGACAACGGGGTGGTCGTCGTGCCGGGCTCAACAAGTGGAGGAGCGCCACAGCAGTCAGTGAACGTCAAGCGTCCCGCACCGGTCTTCCGCGTTAGCGGAGGGGAGTACGACGTTCCGGAGGCTACGAAGAACGCTGTCGCGTCATTCGTTGTGCCGGCCGGTTTCCAGCAGGAAGGCGCCCGCGAGGACTCCTTCATGTACAGCAGTAGTTTCCAAGGCTGTTAGTTTTCTCTCCTTTTCTGTCCCAGATGGCCTATTTATGTTTGCTCAAGAATTCTGGATTATTTTTCTGCAGGCAACCAAAGAAAAACCCGAGACACATGAAACAAATTGAGAGCGCAGGTAAAATGCCGTCTTGCTCCCAACGTTGTTATCTTATCGGACTAGACTCTAACCCGTTGCAAACTTCTCAAGATTGCCCTCCTCTGTCATTACTATTGTTTCGGCCTCTGGCCTAAACATATCTTACTCATAATAAACTACCTACTACACGGTACTCCTAGTCGTCGACCGACTAGACCCCCCCATGCTCCCCTCTCTCTTGAGCGAAAGGTGTGGGTGGGCGGGAAAATCGATCAAATCCTAGAAGGCACTCCGTGTTTGCTGCTCCTCAAAGCTGCTATCTCTACTACTCCTCTCCTTCTCTCAAATGTACTTGCTGCTTGTCGCTCGCCCAGCGAGAGCGCAAAAACTTTCTGCCACCAGGGCTGTCTCTACTTTTCTTCGATCCCGACTTTTCCGAATTCCAACACGCCTCCACAAACCACAGATTCAATTACGTACTGAATCTTCACGTTTATGTTTGCTCAAGAATTCTGGATTATTTTTCTGCAGGCAACCAAAGAAAAACCCAAGACACATGAAACAAATTGAGAGCGCAGGTAAAATGCCGTCTTGCTCCCAACGTTGTTATCTTATCGGACTAGACTCTAACCCGTTGCAAACTTCTCAAGATTGCCCTCCTCTGTCATTACTATTGTTTCGGCCTCTGGCCTAAACATATCTTACTCATAATAAACTACCTACTACACGGTACTCCTAGTCGTCGACCGACTAGACCCCCCCATGCTCCCCTCTCTCTTGAGCGAAAGGTGTGGGTGGGCGGGAAAATCGATCAAATCCTAGAAGGCACTCCGTGTTTGCTGCTCCTCAAAGCTGCTATCTCTACTACTCCTCTCCTTCTCTCAAATGTACTTGCTGCTTGTCGCTCGCCCAGCGAGAGCGCAAAAACTTTCTGCCACCAGGGCTGTCTCTACTTTTCTTCGATCCCGACTTTTCCGAATTCCAACACGCCTCCACAAACCACAGATTCAATTACGTACTGAATCTTCACGTTTATGTTTGCTCAAGAATTCTGGATTATTTTTCTGCAGGCAACCAAAGAAAAACCCAAGACACATGAAACAAATTGAGAGCGCAGGTAAAATGCCGTCTTGCTCCCAACGTT